TCCTTCCTAAGTGTCCTGGGCCTGTCGGAAAGTGACCTTCCTTACTCAGGGTAATTCTGGGAATGCCGTACTCCAAATACCAGGCTGGTTTTCCCAAGAGGGCTTTGTAATCATCAGCTCCATAGAGTCAATTGTAACTCCTTAAAAGTATCTGATTAAATGAGCATCATTCTCAAATATGACATCCCAGGCAAGGCCTTGGTTGCATAACCAATGTTTCCAATTATTTTCCATTAACAAAGAAGGACAGGTTCTTACTGAATTTATGACAATAACTTTGTGTATGGCACAAAAATGGGAACATTTAGTAAGAGCTTTTAATCCTGGAGGGTCAGGCAGGAAGAAATCATGGCCTCGAGGGTGGCTGGCCCTAGCCCCACTGCCTCCCGAGGCTCAGGCCCGCAGTGAACACGCGGGCAGAGAAGGGCGCTCGCGTGGACGCTGACACACACACACACACTCACACACACACTCACACACACTCTCACACACACACACTCACACACACTCACACACACTCACACACACACTCACACACTCACACACATCTCAACACACACACTCACAACATCACACACCTACACACACTCACACACACACTCACACACACACACTCACACACACACACACTCACACACACACACTCACACACACACTCACACACACACACTCACACACACACTCACACACACTCACACACACTACACACAACATCACACAACTCCACCACACACACACACACACTCACACACTACTCACACACATCTCACACACACTCACACACACTCTCACACACCACACTCACAACCACTTCACACACAACACTCACACACTCACACACAACTCACACACACACACACAACACATCACACACACTCACACACCTTCACACACACACACTCACACACACCTCACCACACACACCCACACTCTCCACACACCACTCACACCACACACTGCACACACACTCACACACTCCACACCACACACACCTCACACACACTACATCTCACACACACCACTCACACACACACCTCACACACACACTCACACACACTCCACACACACTCCACACACACTCACCACAACACTCACACACACTCACACACCACACTCACACACACTCACACACACACTCACACACACATCACACACTCACACACACACACACATCACACACACACTCACACACACTCACACACACACTCACACACACACACTCACACACACACACACTCACACACACACACTCACACACACTCACACACACTCACACACACACACTCACACACACTCACCACTCACCACACACTCACACACACACTCACACACACACTCACACACACTCACACACACACTCACACACACTCACACACACCCACACACACAACACACACAACTCACACACACACACACACTCAACACACTCACACACACCTCACACACACTCCACACACACACACTCACACACACACACTCACACACACACACTCACACACACTCACACACACACACACACCCCTTGAAGGGCTGCAGCCAGAGGCAGCTGCAAGGGACAGACCCAGGGGAGCAGCCGGCAGGTGGGTGCAGGACTCCTCACGCCCAGGCCCCGGGGTGGTACATCTTCCCCGGAGAGGCCGGCAGCCGACAGCACCTCCGCTTGGCAGCCAAGGGCGCCCACAGGCGCGCCCAGACAGCAGGAGGGGACATCCCAGTTTGGGAAGGCAGCCACCACGAAGGCTCCCTGAGCAGTGAGAAACCCAGGGACAGGCTGTTGGTTAGTGACCCTCCTGTGGGAGGTGGTCTATTTCCTCAGTTTCTCCAGGAAGCTTCAGGATACAATGCGGTGGAGCACTCACAGAGCCGCTGACTACCCGGCATCCCTGGATCTTTTGTGGGAACAAGCCACCCATAGCCCTGGCACACATGTCGCCAGTCCGGGCACTGCGCCAGACTCTGCCACCCACTCACCAAATGCCAGGAGCACACCCTGGTCATGGTGACAACCCCAAATGTTCCCTGTATTTCCAATATGCTCCACAGCTGCACTGGCCATACAGCAGCCACCAGCCACACGTGGTCTTTATAAATGTAATTTTATAAAAATTATAAGATTACATTATGTACATTATATATAACATATGTGCATCATAATAATGTTTTAAATGTAATTCAGTATAAATAATGAATTAACTAAAATTAAATATTCAATTCCCCAGTTGCACCGGCCACCTCTCAGGTGCTCAAAGACACTTGTGGCTTGTGGCTACCGAGTTGGCTAGGGCAGGCCTGCAGCCACCCATGGGTGCAGAGGTTCTGTGGGCCGGCATCCACAGGGAGGCTCTGCTGCCCTAGGATGGAGGGAGGATCGTTTCATTGGCAACTCCTTAGCCACTCTGCCTGCCCAAGGTCACCAGGGCCAGGCCCTCATCCTGGACAGAGACTGAATGGTGGAGGTAGCCAGGCACCCAGTGCCCAGGGCTAAACCTGTCCACTTGCCTGTTCTTAACCGACTCAAGGTTGCCAGGAAAGCCAAGGCACCTACGACAGCAATGGGCTGGGAAGCAGGGGTGCAAAGAAGTGAAACTTGAGGCCGGGCGCGGTGGCTCACGCCTATAATCCTAGCACTCTGGGAGACCGAGGCAGGCGGATTGCTCCAGGTCAGGAGTTCGAAACCAGCCTGAGCAAGAGCGAGATCCCGTCTCTACTAAAAATAGAAAGAAATTAATTGGCCAACTAAAAATATATAGAAAAAATTAGCTGGGCATGGTGGCACATGCCTGTAGTCCCAGCTATTTGGGAGGCTGAGTCAGGAGGATTGCTTGAGCCCAGGAGTTTGAGGTTGCTGTGAGCTAGGCTGACGCCACGGCACTCTAGCCTGGGCAGCAACAGAGACTCTGTGAGAAGTGAGAATTGAGAACACAAACATGCAAGCAGTACGTATTTTTTAAAAGAATAAAAGAGGAAACTCCCCGAGGCACTGCAACGTCACCGGTCAGGACACGAGGGACTGCACAGAGGCTGCACGTGCCAGGCGGTGGCTGCGGGGGGATGGGGTCAGCCTCGGAAAGCCTGGCATCAGCAGGCCACAAAAGAGAGGTCTGCGCTGCTGGGCCCAGAGGGACCCCAGAGAGTGGTGGTGAGAGCCACAGGAGCCTAAGGGGGGCCTAGGATGTGTGTGTAGGGGGAGAGCCCAGCGGAGCGAGGCAGACAGCGAAGGGAGAGGCCACCATGAAAACCTCTCGAGAGCAGTGTGGACAACACTTGCTGGGCTCTGGGCGAAGTTAAGTCTCCCCAGAGTGGGGAGAGGACCTGGTGAATAGGGCACTGCTTTGGCAGGTCAGGCTGCACAAAGGCCTGCTCTGGCCCAACCCCTGCGGGAGGCAGGAGCCAGGATCTGCCCAACTCTGTGCTAAGATCCGACCACAGCGGGAGGGAGGATGCAGGCATTGGACGAGCTGCGGAGATATTGGGAGGGGCTGGATGTTCTAGGAGAACCAACAAAGGCACTGAAGTGGGAACATGTTTGACAGATCCGGGGACAGCAATGCCACAACGTGCTCCCCAGACTGCAGGAGGGTGCCAGGGGGAGGTGGCAGGGGTCCTAGGGCCGCTTCTGTGCGGGAGGCAGGACAGCAGAGGGAGCACACGACCCAACTTCCATGGAGAAGTTCCCCAGGTGATGTGTGAACAGCTGTGAGGAAGGCGCAGGCCAAAGCAGGAGACATGGGGCTAGCGTGGAGGAAACAGTCTGGTTTGGGATCACTGTCCAAGGTGGAACTGGTGTGAGTTATCGAGGTAAGGAAGGAGCGGATGGTCACAGATTTGGGGGCTGCAGGGAGGAAATGGGGAATGCAGTATTTGGTTCCACATGTCCTTTTCCAGGGCCCTGTCAGCTGCCGGGTGGAGGGGTGAGGGAGGAGCTGCATGCAGAGGGTTTCTGGCGACATGGGCTGGGTGAGAGGGTGAGGAAACAGGTGCCTAGAAGGAAAAGAGATGCCCCAGGGCACGACAACGCCAAGGATGCGGGAGGAGGAAGAGCCACCCAGGAAGCCCTCAGCGCTGTGCCAGCCACATGCCGCTTCCAAGGACACAGCGATGGCGGGGAGCTGCACTGAGCTTCAGGAGGCTGAGGACTGAAACTCGCTGGACTCAGCAACACAGACGCATTTGGTGACTCTGTCACCAACATTTTGCTGGCTCGGGGAAATGGCCTGGTTGACAAGCTTTGAGGGAGAAAGGGAGGAAAGTGGAGACTTAGAATGAATTGTGCCGCAGTGCTAGAGCCAAGGCCTCAAGGGAGAGTTGTTATGACCTAACAGCAGCGCTGCAGCCACGCCTCCTACAGTGCTGTCCCCAAGCCAGGCTTTCTGCAAGTGGGAAGCTCACCAGGTTAGAAACCAGAAACTGCGACCTCTAACCCTAACCCCATCGCCAATTTTCTTGGTGACCTTGGGCTGGTTACTTCTCAGTATCTTGGTTTCCCTCACCTATAAAACGAGGACAATCCCTGCCTTTTCCACCTCATAGCTGCATAAATGATCAAGTAACATCACTTGCCCATTCTGCTTTCTGTCTCTATGCATTTGACTGGTATCTCATATAAATGGAATCATACAGTATTTGTCTTTTTTGTGACTGGCTTATTTCACTTAGCACGATATCAAAATTATGCTTCATCTTGTAGGATGTCAAAATTTTCTTCCTTTAAGGCTAATATTCCCTTTTATGTCTACATAACATTTGGTTTATTTATCTATTGCTGGGTACTTGGGTTGCTTCCACCTTTTCGTTATTGTGAATAATGCTGCTATGAACATGAGTATACAAGTTTCTTGAGACTCTGCTTCCAATTCATTTCAATATACACCCAGGGTGGAATTGCTAGATGGTAATTCTACTTTTCATATTTTGAGGAACCACCATGTTTTCAACAGTGGCTGCACCATTGTACATTCCCACCAACAGTGTACATGTACAAGGGTTCCAACTTCTCCACATCTTTGCCAGCACTTGTTATCTCCTGTTTTCTTTTGTTTTTCTGATAGTAGTCATCCTAATGGTTTAGCCCATGGTAAATGATCAGGATGGTCACAATGATGATCAAGTAAGGTTAACAAATCAGAATGTATTTTGAAATTGTATTTGTCAGGATCCAACCAGGAAAACGGAAAAAGCACTGAAAAGAACTGAATGCGTGAAACTGGGGATACAGGTGGGCAAAAGGCTGAGAAGCCACACAGCAGAAAGTCATTAGCACATGTGCCTAGAGCAGAGGACAGAGAAGTGTTACCAGCCCATTGGCTGGGGTCGCCCAGGGGAAGCCAAGGCGGTGAGGGGAGCTATGGAGGCTGACAGGGAAAATACCTGGCTTCTCCCACCAGGGCCTCCCATTGACCAAACCTAGCTCGATCTGACGATGCCTCAGGAGACCTGGGCCAGGAGATGTCTGGAGAGGCGAACCAAAGACACACAACCAGGAGCACCATCACCAGTCTTGCACATGGAGCATGAAGGAGTCAAAGATATTGTCAAGCCTCTGACCAAACCAAGGAACAGAAGAAGTAGGTTGATATCAGCGGGGGTTAACCCTTCCTCTAGCAACTCCATGGTAAGTGACCAAGATGGTCACTTATTATCAAGTGCGATATCGAATCAGAATGCAACCTTCCCAAAGAAACCATCTGAGTCCTGCAGGTCTGAACGTTTTATTAATAAAAAAATAAATTCTGAGATGATAGATTTGCATGCAGGTGTAAGGAACGATAGAGCCCGTGTACCTTTTACCCTGATTCCTCCATCTTGCAAACTACAGCACAGTGGCACAGCCGTGGTGGACACTGACAGGAAGGACCCTGAGCATTTCCACCAGCAAAGAGTCCCTTGAGTGACCTTCTATAGCCACGACCACTCTCTGCCCCCAACTTTTAAAGCGACAGGGATTATCCAGGCCGTAGGGCGCCTACTCCGAACAAAGAACAGCGTGAGGCGCTGGGAAGGAGACTGCGGAGACACCTCCGGGCAGAGCCTCCACGCCCGCCACGCAGGACGCCACCGAGGGCCGGCCGGGCACTGCCCGAGCACTTCCGCGCGCGTCGCCGGGCCCGCCCCTTCCGCCGGGGCCGACTAACCGCCGCCCGAGGGCCGAGCAGAGCCGGAAGTGGGCGGTAGCCCCGCGGCCCCGTCGCTCAGTCCGAGATGGCGGACCTCCACCGCCAGCTACAAGAGTACCTGGCGCAGGGGAAAGCGGCCAGGCCGGCGGCCGCGGAGCCGCTGCTCGCCGCGGAGGAAGCGGAGGAGCCCGCGGCCGGGGACGGGCTTGCGGGGGCGTGGCTGGGCCGCGCGGCCCTGCGCTGGACGTGGGCGCGGAGCCCCGCGGAGCCGGCGGCGGCGGGCCCGGCGTGCGTGCCGAGGGTGACGCGCGGGCAGCGGCTGGCGGCGGGCGGCGGGTGCCTGCTGCTGGCGGCGCTCTGCTTCGGCCTGGCCGCGCTCTACGCGCCCGTGCTGCTGCTGCGCGCGCGCAAGTTCGCGCTCCTCTGGTCGCTGGGCTCGGCGCTGGCGCTGGCGGGCGGCGCGCTGCTGCGGGGCGGCGCGGCGTGCGGACGCCTGCTGCGCGGCGAGGAGGCGGCGTCGCGGCCCGCGCTGCTCTACGCGGCCGCGCTGGGCGCCACGCTGTTCGCGGCGCTGGCTCTGCGCAGCACGCTGCTCACGGTGCTGGGCGCCTGCGCGCAGGTGGCCGCGCTGCTGGCCGCGCTGTGCGGCCTGCTGCCCTGGGGCGGCGGCGCCGCGCTGCGCCTCGCGCTCGGCCGCCTGGGCCGCGGCGCCGGGCTCGCGAAGGCCCTGCCCGTGTGAGAGCCCGCGTCGGCGGGAAGGACGAGGAGCCAGCGCCGGCCAGCACCGTCGGGACCAGCCAGCCGAGACGCGGCCCGCAGACGCCCGACGGAGCGGGGCGAAGGCCCCCCTCGGCCGTGCCGGCCGCTCTGTGGACTCTGAGCGCCTGCTGCGTACGAACAGTTTCAGAAGCTCCGTGATTGCAGTGTTTTGTGCTGTACTCGCCTCGGAAATCGAGATTTTGTCATTGAATTGGTGATAGTGTGTGACACGGCAGTTAGAGGTTGCTTTAGCATTATTCGGTTTTAGACTTCAGCTGAGAAAAAGAGTAGCTGTTCTTTGAATTAGCTGGTTTTGTAATTTTTCTCAGTTTTATCTTTTACCTTCTTGTCATTTAAAAAATCCAGTGGTCGATGTTTAGTTGCAGTAACTTGGTTTTGTTTGGCTATAGGTAAGACTTGGAAATTATTCTCTTCAGTACGAATCTAGGAGGATATCAGATTAAACATTGAGTTTAGCCATTGGATTTTTTAAAGTACTTATTTTAGTTAAAACAGTTAATCTCGGTTATTTTCTTCAAAGGAACTGCAAATATGGTGCTTTATAACATGAGGAAAATTAGGTCTTTATTAGACACGAAAGCAATGGACCAAAAGAAATTTTCTGCCCCCAAGAAAATGGTATCCAGTAAGGTGGGTCTCTAAGCAGAACTGAGCTTGGAATCCTGGCAGATGGGAAGATCATTCTACATCTGGAATTCCAATATTTGGCGGTGAACATAAATTTTCTATGAGCTCTAATTATGATTCTTAATTTTATGGTTTGCTTTTTAAACTATATATTACAATTTTCAGGCAAATCTTAAGGTGCTTTAGATGCATTTTCATATTTAATTGCTAAATTTCTTTCATTTTAGGTTCACCCACCTTAATTTATTGCCAGAAAGTATGGGCCCAATATTCTGATTACTTCCAAAAATCTACATATTTTGTCAGTAGCTATAAACCAGGAAGTAAAATATTTAGAATTTAAAAATTCTGTGCCAGGGGATTCTCATGCTTGGTTGCACATCAGAATTATTTGAAGAGCCCCACTCAGATCAATTCAGTCTGAATCTCTGGGTGGTAGGACCCAGGCATCAATATATTTTTTAAAGCTCTCCAGATGATTCCATGTCCAGCCAAGGTTGAGAACTACTTCTGTGCATTGGCTTGCACAATTTGAAAATAATTGTTTTCCAGAGCTGGATTCCCGTGTTGCCTTAATACAGTATGTCATGCAGCAACAGAGCACTGTTTCTTCCTCCAACCCCAAAACTTTGTGTTCCTAGGTCAGTGCCATAAGTCCTGCACCTAGAAATGACACTGAAGTGGCCAACATCCACACTCTAGGCCTAGTATTTGCTAAGAATACTGCCTTGTTCCCCTGTCATTAAATAAAGTTACCTACCTCAAGGGGGTGCTTATAAGAGCAAATGCAGTATTTTCAGGGATTAATTTTTTTAATTGGAAAGACTTGTGCCATTAGTTGCTCTTTCTAGTCCCCTAGTTAAATTTGTTCTAGTTCTAAATTTCTCTAGAATTTGCGTGGCTGAAAATTCTATAATGTTTAACACATTTTTATGTTGATGCTATTCAATTTCTTAAGTAAACTTTTAAAACTTACACGTTAGCTGGTTGGGGTGGCATGCACCTATCCTGTTACTGGGGAGGCTTGGGGTGGGGATGGGGATGGCTTAGTCTGGAAATTCTGGGCTGTAGTGCACTGTGCTGTCCTAAGTTTGGCATCAGTATGGTGACCTTCTGGGAGCAGGGGATCAGTAGGCTGTCTAAGGAGAGGTGAACCAGCCCAGGTTGGAAATGGAGCTGGTCAAAACTCCTGTGCTGATGATACACCTGTGAGTTGCCACTGCACTCCAGCCTGGACAACATAGCCAGATCCCATCTCTTACAAAAATGCTTTCAGTGTTTTCTCAAGAATTCAAACAGTTCAAAATTGTTTGAAAATGTTTATAAAATTCAAAGCATATCTAGTATGTATTTTGACAGTTATATTTTAAAATGTTAAATATATATCCTGAGTATTTAATAAGTGCATAATGTAGAGACTTCTGTTTTCTCTAAATGAACTCTCAAAATGTGATCTGGTTATATGCTTATTGAGGTACTATGTTATTAAAAAAAAAGCCTAGGCGGGGCGCGGTGGCTCACACCTGTAATCCTAGCACACTGGGAGGCTGAGGCAGTAGGATTGCTCAAGGTCAGGCATTCAAGACCAGCCTGAGCAAGAGTGAGACCCCGTCTGTACTAAAAATAGAAAGAAATTAGCTGGACAACTGAAAATATAAGGAAAAAATTAGCTGGGTGTGGTGGCACATGCCCGTAGTCCCAGCTACTTGAGGCTGAGGCAGAAGGATAGCTTGAGCCCAGGAATTTGAGGTTGCTGTGAGCTAGGCTGCTGCCACGGCACTCTAGCCCAGGCAGAAGTGAGACTCTGCCTCCAAAAAAAAAAAAAAAAAAAAATTAAAGCCTAAAGTTTTAAAATTCTTTCTACCGGAATCTCAGAAAAAAGAGCCTAATCTTGATATGGGTTTGGTCTCTGGATCCCTTTTTAGCTTCTTGGAACATGATTATAGTTTCTCTGTTTTTAAGTTATACTAGTGGAGGGTAAAGAAAGAATATCCACAAACATAAAACAATCTTGAGCTTCCTAGTAGCATGTTTATGGTGGGGTATTGATAAAACGTTTTTAATTTCAAAGTAAAAAAAATTACTCACTTGGAGTCTAAGTGAGCGTGTGTGGTTAGCAGTTTCTCACTTCACAAAAACAACTTTTTACCATTTTTTTTACATTCATAGAGAACCAGTTAGGAGATTTTTTATATACTACCACACTGTCAGTATCCCTTTTCCAAACAACCACTGAGACTTCCAGCACCACTAAATATGTCAAGTAAACTTGATTCTGATGCCAAATTGAAGCTGGCAATGTAATGAAATGTTAGAGTGGCCATAGGAATGTCCTTTTAGTAATAAAAGTTTTCTTATATTTGTATAGAAAGTATCCTGGCATATCTCAAACTGAATTTTTGGCTTCCAGTTCAAACAACCAAATGTTAAATTTATTTAAAATAAGAATTTGCCATGAACAAGATCCTTCTGGCTTACTATGAGTTAGAACTATCCTCTGCTTTAAACACTGGTATTTCCACAAAACTAGTATAGAAGAAGAGATTTAAGTTTTGCAAAACTTTTAGGAGAGATTTTGGTCCATTCCTTTTCAACTTAATGTGTGAAATGATTTAAAGTTATCAAAAGGGTATGTGTAGTTAGCCTGGCTTATATCAAGTTCCTCTCCTCACAAAACAAGACAATGCAAATCAAAAGTGTGATTATTTAGGAGATGCAATGAAGGGAGAGCCCCTAGTTGGACAGCCAGTTTTAAGTTTTTCTTCAGGATATAATTTTCCATCTGCTACAGCATAACTGACTAAGGCTTTGAACCTACTTCAAACTACACTAGTTTTCAAGTATTCCTCACTGTAACGAAAATAGTGTGACAGGATGGCTAGATGAGAATTTGTTGAAAAACACAAGTTCACAGGTGAACTTAATTAGATGACCTAGGCATTCATATCAAATATGTGTATAAATACCAGCAACAATTGTATACCCTTCAGCAGATCAGATGCAATGGAAACCAAGGTTTCCTTAAGGCAAGCACTCCACAACTGGTTTTCTGTTAATTCTTGCTTAAATCACATTCTGTATTCATACAAAAACAACTTAATGTTTTTTCTCTGACAAACTGTACATATAGAAACAAATTTCCAATTGGACATGAACTTAAATTTGTGGACGTGCTCCATGTCTCATGACACTTAAAAAAAAAAAGATTCCAGCTTTTATCTTCACAAAACAACATGGGATTTAGAGCAATGAGGGTAGACAGGACAAAAGGCCAGCTACTCTGGGTAGCCAGTAGCAGTCTCTTCATCTTGAAGATCTCATTAGGGGTTCTGGGAGTAAGCTGCTCCAGAAAGGAGTTCGGGGCTACAGTGGTGCAGGCTTCCTTTTGTTGCGCTTGGTTAAGTCCACAAGAAGTTCTTAAATACTGTCCAGAGCGGCCTCAGCATGCTCAGCCCCAACTTCTACCGACCCCTTCCCCCCCCTCTTGACGCACCTCGCCTTGGTGGGCCAGAGTTCATGTTACTCCCTCTACCCCAGTTACTGCCACTCCGGCCCCCTCGAGAAGGGGTGCCGCTGCCTGGGGGGCCCCCAAAAGGTTCATCTCTGTGGTATCCATCGTGGTGATCTCCATCCAACGAGCTGGAACGCCCTGATTTTGGCACTCTCTGGGAAGGTCCTGAGCCCCCGCGGCCTGAAACAAAACAGATTTCACTTGTGACTTTTTGTACTAGTAATTGTTTGCCAATAACTCCTAGTATAAACTTTTACTGTCTGATGACAGCATACCACTTCTGGAATGTTCTGGGAAGATTGGCAATGGCATTCAGAACACTACAAGGTGTACCTTTGGCCCCTTTTAACCACCACCTTGTGGCCATGGTCCTAAGCATCAAGAAGTCCATGTTCCCCAGGGCTGTGTGACAGGTGGCAGGAAGCCAAGAGGTAAGCATGGAGCACTTCAGGGAGACCTGTACCACACTGGGCCATGTCCCCAGACCACAAGAAGGTATATCTGCACCCTCCTATGCCAACAGGGCATTCTGAGGGAAGGTCTGAAAAGCACTGACTTGACTTTGGAAGTAAGTGCTGCTGTTAATGACAAGTGCTCCAACTAGTATAAGTGTTTACTGTGATTGTTCTGTGACATATGGCACTTTTGCCTTGCTTTTACAAAGTTAGTGAAATAAAATACTTCTCAAAAAATAAAGGCACAACCCCCCCCACACACACACAAAACACTGGCTTTCAGATTACTTCTCCCAGGGACAGCTTACCTTGTTTCAGACTTGCACATACAAATGTGCATTAAAATTAAGGTATTATTAAAATTCCTTCTTTTAAAATTTTCTCATGAAACATTGGATTTGGTCCTATCTCCCATATGCGCTTTCAGAAGACTTATCAACTTTATTTTGTCTGAAGTTTTTGAACGCAATGTAAATCTAGCAGAGATGAAAAAGCTAGGTGAGTTAGCCAAAGGAACAGTCTTGGCTTCTTTTCTTACAGAGCACCACTTAGGCCCTCCTGAGGGTGGCTGGGCAGAGAAGTTGTCAGCTACTACACGTCACTTCCACACTAACCAGGGGACCTGTGTCCTGAGTGCCCATGAAAGTCATCCACAATTATAGCACACCAACTAGTAATAAAATGTGTTTTGGGGCAGGGAGATCTATTGGAGATACCTGAGGTAATTTCTGAGGGTTTTGCTCTGAGAAACATCAAGCTATCAAGAACAAAAGGCAGAACTCTGCAGTGGAGGGACTGTAAACATGATGCAGAGGACAGGCTGGGGCATGCGGGCAGGAGTCTCTCCGGCAGCCTCCGAGCCACACCACATCGTGAGCAGAGCTGTAGTTAGCTGCGGTGGCTGCCACTCCAGGCTAAAAGTGCTGTCTGTAAAATCAAGAATCAGAGTCTCCAGTTGTAGAGATAAGCTACTCCCTGGAAACACCCCTGCAGACCATGTTCCCCAGAGTCTTTGTGACTTTGGGCACAAGCAGTGTTCCTTTGGGCTCAGGCTTAAAAAAGAGCACCACAGAACCAAGGAGAGGACAACTCTTCCCTCCCACTAAGGACACCCTCGAAGGTGCTGGGCAGACTGCCAGTTAGAGCAGGGGTCTCCAGAAAGCAAGCCCAGCAGAAAGTGCTGGGGCACGTTGGCAGAGGGCTGACGTGGAACCTTGAATGGGTAGTGATTCCTAGAGTAACTGGGGTCATGTGCAGGGCTGAGCTTGCAGTCACTGGGTGACAGCTCCAACCAGCACCCACACATTTGGGAGCATGTGGCTCTGCATAGCTTAGGCCAGGCGAGGCCTCATTTGGCCCCTGCAGCTCCTGGCACTGTAACCACTGGCCTCTTACCTTTGCCTCCACGGTCCTCAGAAGGGCCCCCTGGGGCCTCCATTTCTCTGTGCTCGGAAGTACCTGGCCCATCATGCCAAGGGCGCTTTCGAGGTGGTAGGGATGCCATGTCCATGCCTTGCAGAGAAGAGGAACGCTCTCTGCTTGCAGGGGAATGACCGTCGTGAGGGGGATGATCAGGGCGGGGAGCATCACGGAAATGTTCATGACCTGGCCCTGAAATAAGCAGCAGAGTCTCCTCACAGTAAAGACAGTGTGACCAAAAGCAGAGGACAGCCTAAGCAAGAGCGAGACCCTGTCTCTACTAAAAATACAAAGAAATCAAGCTGGACAACTAAAAATATATAGAGAAAAAATTAGCCAGGCGTGGTGGCGCATGCCTGTAGTCCCAGCTACTCGGGAGGGTGAGGCAGGAGGATCGCTTGAACCCAGGAGTTTGAGGTTGCTGTGAGCTAGGCTGATGCCATGGCCTGTGCAATAGAATGAGGCTCTGTCTCAAAAATAAAAAAAAAAAAAAAGAGGGAAAGGATACTGCTGAGAACACAGAGCAACTCGAGAACCATTCGTGCAAGAAACGTGCTGAGTGCCCACAGGAGGGCGGGTGTCAATCTCCATAAACACAGAGAGGCCACGATTAGAAACCAATGTAAGAGGAGGCAGGTTGGGTCCAGAGATGTGGTTCTTAGATGTTTTAGTATGAAGACGGACATCTTTACATTCTTAAAAACTATTGAGGACCCCAAAGAGATTTCACTGATGAGAGTTATATCTACTAATATTTACCATATTAGCAATTAAGAATGAGAAAATTTTAATTCATTCATTTTTCAAAAACAAAAAATATTTAGTAAAAGTAGTAGTATTGTTTTATTTAGATAAATCCCTTTAGTGTCTGACTTAATAGAGGAAAGCTGGATTCTTCCATCTGCTTCCGTATTCAATCTACTGACACAGAATGCTGTGGCTCCCTCATGGACCCCTGGGAGGGCCTGCAGACCCTACTTTTCGAGTTGCTGGTCAGAGCCACCACAAGCCGTTCTCTTTCCTTACCTGGTTCTCTGTTTCCATCCCAGGAGTCTGGCTTCCGTCCTCCTTCAAAGCGAGGGAACTCGTCAGGAGTGGGGAGTAAACCCTTCCTTCCTCCTATACAATGAAGCAAACAACAGTGCACTCACACTTTCACCCGTGTCACAGCCACCTAACTGCCAGCCTTGTCCTTCCAGACCAGATGTCCTCAGCATGCACTCACCTCGTGGGGTACCCCGACCTCGACCTCTGAGATCTCGCCCTCGGGCCGCTTCATCAGAAGCATCAAAATTCTCCTCTGGACCAAAGTCTTCAGGACCAGGAAAACCATCCCTTCCTCTGGGAGGAGCACGGCCCTCGTGTCTCGGGGGAGCGCCTCTTCTGAAGCTATAAAGGAAAGACAGCAGAATGTCCATCTCATGGAATACCTTACTGCTCGAAGTTCATGTTTCAAAGAAGCATAATGATATGAGAAAAGATACGATGTTAATTGGGTGGAAAACAAAATAAAAGTATATATATTTTAAATTTTTATTATTTTTTAGAGATAGGGTCTCACTGTTGTCCAGGCTGGAGTACAGTGATGTCATCATAGCTCACTGCAACCTCAAACTCCTGGGCTCAGGCAATCCTCCTGCCTCAGCCTTCCAAAGTGCTGGGATTATAAGTGTGAACCACTGCACCTGGCCAAACTCCCCTATATATATGTGTGTCTTTTCATGGCCTTTTGTGAATCTGGAAACCTATATATTTTTTAAAGTGTATACATTGTACAATCCTAATATTAGAGGCAAAAACAAACAGGAAGGAAATACACCAGAATGTGAGGTTACCTTACGTTTGTTTTAGGCTTTCAGGAATAATAATAGTGGTGAACATTTTTTAAGTGGTTAAATCATAACAAGTGCTGTATATGTATTATTTCATTTCATTTCATTCTCCCAACCCCAATATGAAACTATTCATACTATTATTAACCCTATCAGTGAGTACACTGAGGCCAAGATTGCTAGTGCCATGTATTTAAGGACACACAGTAAGTGCCAGCTGTGATTTGAACTCAGCCCAGCCTCCATATCACTGCCTCCCAAATATATGCCATCTACATTTTTATGATGGACACTTATTACATATATAATCAGAAAATCGGGTACAGATTATGCCTTCCAATTATACTAGACTTGTCGGGGGCAGGTATCTGCTCTGCCATTTGCCTGCGCCCACAGCCCCCACTCAGGGACATGCTTAAGTGGCCAGGAGCTGACCGAGCTCCCCAGCAGACAGGCAGACAACTTCCCTTCTCTTTCAGGAATTTTGGAACTGGGAGACTAAGTTGGCTGAGAGTCTTGCTGAAGCAGAGAGGTTACAAGGAAGCCTGCAGAGAAGAAGAGAACTCGGTGGCCTGCAAGCAGAAAAAGGTGCGAAAGCACACCGAGAGAAGCCACAACACCGGAGGGAGGGTGAGCCGGCCCAGTCTGCACAGCCCAGCCCACCTGCGGCCTCCTCCCAGGGCATTCCCCTTCAGTATCTTCCATTCCAATCTTCTACTATGAAGAGTTTCAAACTCAGAGTAAAGTTGAAACAGTAAAATGAATACCCACAGATCCTTCACCTAGATTAATCAGTTCTCAACATCTTTGCCACTTGTGCTTTATCTTTTGTTTATTTACAAACACATTTTCTAAACCATATGAAAATCAGCTGCTAACAATATAATGCTTCACTTTTAAATATTTCAGTATGTTTCTTCTAAGAACAAAGACTTTCTCCTAAATAACCACAAATATGTGCTATTAACAGATTGCCTAATTCAAATTTCCCAAATTGTCCCTAAAATGTCCTTTATAGTTGATTGTTTTTAAATATAAAATTCAATCATGATTATATGTTGTAACTCAGTGGTCACGTCTCTTTGGTCTCCTTTAATCTAGAATAGTCCCCTCCTGTATTTTTGTCTTTCATAACCTTGACATTTTTGGCAAGAACTGCTCAGACTTCATCATGACGTCGGCTTGCCTCGCTGTTGATGGTGTGAGGGTGGTGTGGCCACCAGAGTCTGCTACTGCAAAGGCACATTTTCTCCTCTGCCATTAATAAACAATCTGTGGGGTGACCCTGTGGCACCGTGAGAACATCCTTTTCCTGGTGGTTTTAGCATCCACAGATGATCCTTCCCTGCATCGGCCACTACACTGATTGCTCATAAAAGAGGTGGTTTTCTAATTGTATCACTCTTCCTGCAGGTATTATATGGCATTCTGCTATAATAAAAGAGCTTTCTCTTTGCCACTCCACCACTCCATGTATCTTCTTAACACCCTTCTTGGTCCCGAGATAACTTGACCAAATCATGCTTCCTGCAAGCAAAGAGGGTGTGCCCAGGACACTGGCTGAAATAACAAGCTATGTAAAGGCGGAGCTGACCAGGAGGAGATGGAGATGGGGAGCCAGGAAGAGGCTCAGCAGGGAACACTGTTCCCCTGAAACACAGCAGGATTCTTCTTTTGTGCAGGTATCTACTACACAACTGCCTTAATTACAAAGGGATAGAGAGAAAATCTGCACAAATTAGAAAACATCTCCTGTCATAGACTACATTCTTACGTTGAAGCCCTAAACCCCAGTGTGATGGTGCTAGGTCCTAGGAGATGGGACCTGTGGGAGGAGAGTAGGGTCGGATGGAATCATGACGGTGGGATGAGGGCCCCTATAAAAACAGACACCAGAGAAAGCTTGTGCTCCCGCCCATGTGAGGACACGGTAAGAAGGTAGTTATTTGTAAGCCGGGAAGAGAATCCTCACCAGAAACTGACCCTGCTATCTAGGACCCTGATCTAGGACTTCCACCCTCCAGAACTGTGAGAAAGTAAATTCCTGTTTTAAGCCACCCACTCTGTGGTATGCTGTTATGGTATCCTGAGCTAAGACTCCTGCTACTGGACTGACCCTTCTCCAACACATCTCCCCACTGAACAGATTCATTAATTCAACCCATAGTCACTGAGGACCTGTGGTGTGCTGCCACTGCTGCTCTGAGTCCTGAGGGTATGTGGACTGGTGAACAAACGAAGCCGCTGTCCTCAGAAAGGAGGACGCTTACAGGAGACATGGCAACAAAGACTGCCTATGCACACAATCTGGGCGTGCGTTCACAGAGGCAGAGTGAGCACCAAGCCCCAGGCATAGGAGTGTATGCGGCACGTCTGAAGAAAAGCTGTGACTGCAAATGAGCCTAGGCTGTGGGTCTGTCACTGACAGATGAAACACAACACAAACTGAGACAGAGTAAAATGTAAAATGTACAAGATGCAGATTCAAGAAATCAATGAAAGTTATGTTGAGGCCAAGCTTCTGTAAGGCATAAAAGCCACTTCAATGAAAATGCTTGGATTGGATATCATTAAGAGAGGCCTTTAGGAATATGGGAGCCCATAAATCTTTCTCGCAAACCCACCCTGACAGCAGCTCCCAGTGGCCCTTGCTACGTCACCTTCCTGGACTGCCACAGGCCAGGCTTTTCTCACCACCCCGAGGGCAGGGATGGCCAACCCTAATTCAACCACCTACCGCCACCATGTGAGAAATGAGACTGAAAGACACTGATGGATGGCCAAGGGGCGGTCAGCAACTGCAGTACAAGCAGGGGTGCTGAACAGCAAGGGCCTGAAGCCCAGCTCTGACACTGACCACCTATGTGACCGCAGAAAGCCCAGAAGCCGCTCTGATTCTTGGTCTGATCCCTCATCTATGAGACGTGGAGGTGGCAGTTGCATCTATCTCAAAAATTCCTTAAATAAAATTCCTTAAATTAAATGAGATAATAATTTCCTAAACTAAAACAAATTCCTAAAATTAAATGAGGTAACAATATTGGGCACAGAGTTAATATTCAGTTATCACCATCATTGATAATATTTTGAGTCTCATTTAAGATTTTACTAAATGCTGTTTTTTTCTTCCACATTTATTCTATTCCTTTTATGCCTCAAGCAGGCTGAAAATTCAAGCCTCATCTAAAAGGAAGATAATTTTTCAGTTTGGTTTGACTTACTAAGATCTTTAGGCAATTACACAAAAACTGTATCTATTTCACAATCCCTTTATTTCCAATCTAGGTATCTGTCTCATATTTCATCATTCTAATCAATTCTAATCTCATAGTATACTGATGCTCCCATCTCTTTAAAAGGACCAAAAAATAAACAAAGACTTCTAAACTGTGAAGATTTTTTAAAGACCCACATAAAGGTTACAAAGCATAATTTCTTTTTTAAAGTCTAAATGCGAAATCTACAAAGTGTAGGGTGAGCCATCAATGTAGTGCTCTCTCCCCGAATAAATGAGGACAGAGACCTTTGTTGAGAGAACAGATTAAAAGCTCCAGGGGAGATGGAATGGACCCCCAAAGTATCTGTCCCACCTTTCTTCTCTGCGCCCTCGAAAACGTGGGTCCTCAGGATCCCGGGGGAACCGTTCGTCTCCGGGTCTGCGGCCTTCCCACGCCCCTGGAGGGCCTCGGGCTGCACCCCGGCCATCCCCCTCGCTGAATTCCCTGTGGTCAGGAGGAAACGGAGGCCCGGGGCCCCCTCGCCTCCACTTCTCCTCTTGTGGTAAAGGTCCTCCTCGCCCCTCAAATTCACGTAACCGGTGGCCAAAGCGCTTGTCAGGGTGGAAGTCGTCTGGTCTGCTGAAGTCATCAGGGAAGTCGGGGTGAGGGCCACGCCTATCAGGGGGACCCCTGCAGTCCTGGCCACCCCGGAAAGGCCCCCTCTCAGGCCCATGCTCAGGGCCGCCGCTCTGCTCATGCCGCCTCTCTGACATCGGGCCCATGTGATGGTTTGGAGGGCCGCGGGAGTCACCTAAAGGAAACAAAGCTGACTTTTACCAAGTCTTCCAGGAAACCTGCCAATACAGGTCTGACCTGCAGCATCTTCACGTTTCAGAATGCATTCTTTCATTTAGAATGTTTTCTGTCCTTGTTCTCCACATACTTAGGAAACAAATGTCCCTGAGGCATCATATAATGAAAAGAACATGGGTTTGGGGTACAGATTTCAATTTCACTGCTCATTACTTAAAGTAACTTGCCCTAGGGGAAGTTACTAATCTCAATGAGATCAGCAATGTCTGTCCACTTCCTAGTATGTATATTCTAGAAAACATGAGTTCATCCTGAGCATAAAAATGAGCTTCCCTTCCCAGCCCTAATTCTTCCAGTGATTTTGTTAGGGCCACCTGCTCTATACCCAAGGACACAATAGAGAAAATGAATGCTGCAGGCCAGGAAGCTGCACCAAAAATTCACCTCTGTGCTTGTGAGGGCAGAAGGCCCATCAACAGGGTGCCACTCATGAGATCCCTCATTTAATCCCTAGCTCATTTAACTTGATTTCTTAACTCATGCTCACAATCTCAACAAATTCCTCTGCAAGTGTGAGGAACCATGAGCCTCTCTAAGAACTGCCTGGTGACCAAGCGGCCCTGCTATACTTCAGTTTCATGGTTTATACACACACCTTTGCTGCCCTTTCTACGAATGATGTCTCTTATATACAACATTATCACCATTCTTTGCAGACAGTGTTTGGAATCCCACTGAAGATTTGATAAAAATATTTGAATATATGAGATTATATTCAAAGTACTGAATAATAATGGGAGAGGCCAATAAAATCTGTGATACCTAACTTAGTTTTTCCTGATTTTAAAGGGATTGTTTTCCCAGCCATGGAACTACTGCAGCTATTATAAATGTACATATATTTTCTGTCAACATAGTTTAAATCAAATAATTGTAAAAGTAGGTAGCAAAGGGACATTCTTTTTTTTTTAAGACAGAGTTTCACTCTGTCACCCAGGCTAGAGTACAGTGGTGTCAGCCTAGCTCACAGCAACCTCAAACTCCTGGGCGAAAGCGATCCTCCTGCCTCAGCCTCCTGAGTAGCTGGGACTACAGGCATGCACCACCATGCCTGGCTAATTTTTTCCATATATTGTTAGTTGTCCAGCTAATTTCTTTCTATTTTTGGTAGAGACGGGATCTCACTCTTGCTCAGACTGGTCTTGAACTCCTGACCTTGAGTGATCCTCCTGCCTCGGCTTCCCAAAGTGCTAGGATTATAGGCGTGGCAAAACAAGTTTCAAAAATGAAATTCCAGCTGGGTGCGGTGGCTCACGCCTGTAATCCTAACACTTTGGGAGGCCGAGGCAGTTGGATCGCTCAAGGTCAGGAGTTCGAAACCAGCCTGAGCAAGAGCGAGACCCCGTCTCTACTAAAAGTAGAAAGAAATTAATTGGCACTCTAGCCGGGACAACAGAGTGAGACTCTGTCTCAAAAAATAAAAATAAAAAATAAATTCCTCCACCAGCCCAGCTCTCATGCCTTTTACTGCTTTTCCCTGTCAATACAGACAGACGAATCCCTCCTGATTCCCAGCCAGCTATAATTCTCCCCTTCCAATGGCCTCCTAATTCATTTTTGTTCATTTCTCTTGGCCATTTCAACTTCTCCTCACCATTCATTCAACATGTATAAAAAGTTTGGAAGTCTCAATATACAAATGCACCATCAAAAGGAGTCTCCCTGCTCCTTGGCTGTCTGTCCCTCTGCCCCCTTCTACCAGTCTTCTTCCCCTGGTCCCGGCAGTTTGCAAAGCCCCTAACTCCACTCCTGGTAAACAGGCTCCCTCACTCACTCAATTCTCAGTAGTTCCTGCTGCTAATGGCTTCCTCCCTGATTTGATGTTGCTTGAACTTAGTGCAACCTCGGACATGGCGGACCTTTGCCCCGAAGAAGCTGAACACATTCCATTTGGACTTACCTATGAACATTAATCCTCCCATTACCTCTACCTGTTTAAAAGTACCTTGCTCTTCTAAGAAAAGAAACTCACTACTACAAATTAGAAGGGATGT